TTGAGACAGTTTTTCGACATCGTTCGACAGGAGAGATCTTACGAAATGCGCGACGATGGAACGGTGAAACTATGATGTTGACACCCGTGGTCGGATTGAGATGTCTAACAATAGACGACACGTTCGCGAGCCGGCCTGAGGAACGAAAGAATCGGCCCTGAAATAGTGCGTTACGCGATAGGACGACGTGTCTCGCAGTTGCATTAGGTAACAGGCGAAAAGAAACGTGTGTGTACACACGCGAGCAAGACAGTAAGTGCTCCGTCGCGTCGGTCGCCTTTGCCAAGAATCGTGACGCGAGAAATTCAGTCCCCGCGTAATCGACCCGTCGATTCCTCCTGTCAAGGAGCTTGCGTCTTGCAGGATCGCAAGACGCGATCCTGTACCAGCGATAGCTTCGCTGAAATGATTATTACACTGCACATTGATTATATATTATTATACTGCCATTTCACGATCGAGAAACGTCACTTGACACGGATGTGCGCAACCTTGTCGACCTTGACACATTGAATTGCACATTTAACCAGTCGCGAGGTTTCTTGAAATAATCGTTATAATAATCCAACGAGCAAATCGATCGCGCATTGCTCATACTCACTTCGGTGAGTATGTGTACGTCAAACTTATTATGAGACTCCGACTCATTAGCGACTTTTAGTCACTAGTATCGTGTCTGGATGTGACGTATCACATGGCATGACATAATACGAGCCGCGTGGCTCGTATTTATCGAGACACGTCCGAAAACGGTTGATTAATTAACCAAATAATCAACACGACGCACGCGAACATCCAGTTATGATATGAACGATTATCGAAATCACCAGTAAATTATAGCCTGATAAACATCGAAGTTTTTTCTCACACTCGACGGACTTGAGTGCGATTTGTAAATTCAGAACGCGAATTCAGAACCTGAATTTAAAAATTGTTTGAATTTCCAAGTATTATTAAAGAGTAACGAGGAAAATCTTACGGTTGAGATCAATTTGACAGAAAGGCCTCGCTATTTAAATAATTTGTTATTTAAATAATACCATTTAAATGGATACTTATCATTGAATATGGAGAAGGTTGAATATAAAATGTCATTTTTTGCATCTATTTGTAATATTTATTTTCACGAAACAACCGACGCATTTGTCGAAGAATCTGTCGCGGAATCCTTCCAATGCGCATTGCGCCTTCTAATTGAAAATCCCGACTAATGAGATCTTTCGGTCGACTCGGAAGGTCGGGGAGGATCGATCGATCGACTTGGTTTAATTGCGGGCCAGATTATATGTGTACCACGTGATCGTGGTCAGACTAGGTCGCGATCAATGTAGATTACGGGGCTGCAGGCGGATTTTCGACCTCGAAATCGACGCTAAAATTAGCACCACTTTACAAAACTGTTCAATGGGCATTCTGTGCCGGCAAAGAGGATCCTCGAGAGCATGCACGCCACGTGTGCAAGTCCTATGTTTGTATATGTGTGTGTATGTGTGTGTTCTTGTACTACATATATACACACACGCGCGCGCGTACGTGCGTTGTGTAATGTCTCGTCGATTTTATCCTCATTACGTGCACGAGGGAGAAAAGGAATTCGCAATTTCCAGGAAGTCGCGATCTCTATTCATGTCGTGAAAACTATAAAAAATCAAAGTTATTTCTGTGTCTTAAAAAATGGAATTTATCAGATGGTTTAATGATAAGCTTAATAGACGAGTGATAAATTTTTCATCGCGAATGATTCCTTCCATTTCCAAACTTTGTTTAATGAATTATTCGATGCATGACATATTTTTAAATAATTGCGAGGCATATTTTTAAATAACATGTTAATTGCTGTCGCTTTAAACGGGAATACGACTCGCGCGGCTTTGCTGGAGTACTGAACGAAATGAGATGGACGCCGCACAGAGTATCTTTTGTTCCGACACGTTGTGACATGCTCGAAAGAAGATCCAGTTTATACATTTCTCGTTTCGCAACAGTAATATATTATTTTCGTTGTAAATCATCATGAAAATTTCTGTTTCATATTGTTGTAGAATCTGTTCGATTTGTGACAATATTTGAATAATCAATGTAAATTTCAAAAGTCTGTACGATTACATTTCGTCCAACTCGTCAGCTGTAATAATGTTTATCGTCAGACTTACATATGTATAATATATTCTGTATAATATATATGTATAATATATTCTGTCGTAAATCACCATGGATATTTTTGTTTCACTTTGTTGTAGAATTCGCTCGATTTGTGGCAACACTTGGATAATCAATGTAAATTCCAAAAGTTTCTGCGGTTATATTTCGTTCGACTCGCCAGCTGTAATAATGTTTATCGTCAGATTTATATACATATGTAATATATTCTGTCGTAAACCATCATGGAAATTTTTGTTTCACATTGTTGTAGAATCTGCTCGATTTGTGGCAACACTTGGATAATCAATGTAAATTCCAAAAGTCTCTACAATTGCATTTTGTTCAACTTGCCAGCTGTAATAATGTTTATCGACTTGCTGAAATAGCGATTTGAGAATCTGATTTCTGACCGGATATTTCTCTTCAGATATTTCGTACATGCGCACGCGTGAATTTTGCAGAGTCACGCGGCGTAAGGCGCGAGCAGGTAAATACGCCCGTTATAATTTCGAAGCGGCATGCGTCGGTACACATATTGCATAATCGCGCGTGCAATTGATTTTCTTATGCCGCGCGAATCGCAAGATCCTTTGACTGTGCGGATTCGCGATCCCGATTATCTATTTCGCTCGTGGGAGGAGAGAGGGAAAGAGTGATTCAACACGTAAAGCAGCAACTCGCCGGTTCTCAAACGTCGTCGTGAAATTACACGTTGTGGTTAATTGAAGAGAAGGAAAAAAAGCCTGACGTCAGTGTTACGCGGCGAGTATATCGGCTAACGAGCTTAGAATTGGCCTTCTTTTTACATCATTTTCTTTTCACTCTCTATTAAAATGTAAATCGCGTAGTTCTGTTTTTTTCAATCTTTAAATCGACTGCAATTCTATGTTTTCGAGGCCAAACGTCAGCTGACAATTTGATATTCAGCTAGTAATAATAAAAAAGAAAAGATTAAAAGGCAATTCCGATGCTGAATAAATTTGCAGAATTTTACATTTAATATAATTATAAAATGCAAAATTTTTCTAGGGAGCAATTCTTATGCAATAAGCGTCGTGTCCTCTCTCTCTCTCTCTCTCTCTCTCTCTCTCTCTCTCTCTCTCTCTCTTTTCTCTCGCACGTTCCTTCGATTATCGTTAGTCAACTTGTGCGAATAGCCGGGTACTCGACGTTGTCTCGTTAAGATATTCATTACGTAAGCGTCATTGACGCTCATGTTAATTCTATGTTCTATGTTAATAAAAAAGAGCGGAACGTGTACCTCGCAGGTGAATCCTCACAATGCATAGCGCGCTTCAGATTCGAGCTGCTCGCCGTCACGCGGTTGCATGCAAATAATGCGAGATTACGGAGTCCAAACGCATGCCATTCGATAACTGGTTTTTGATAAGACAAATAGCGAAATATTCACGCCCCTGCATTTCGGCGTATTTTCACGAGGAGAGCGAGAGCGTCGTGACGTGAAACGTCACGCGTCCGCCGAGATCAATCGCGAATGCGAATAATTCAGAGATGATTTCCTCGCGGGATTCCCGGATCGATTCGATGCGGTGCACCACGTTGCACGCGACACAGGATGCACCGCCCGCGCCGGCCGGGGAGTCGCGAATCGATCGCGGGTCGAGTGCTCGTACGCTCGTCAACCCGAGATCCTTACATAATCCTTTTCACATCCACGTCCCGAAACTATCGATCCGGATATTAAACTTCCGCTCCCTCTTTTTCGAGCGGAGATCATCATTTCCTCCTTCTCGTCAACAAAGAAAGTCAAATATTTTTTTGTCGAGGCATCTGATATTTGAATTAAACTCCGGTTTTCTGAGACACCGTGTGTACAAGAGACTAAAATTCTTTTCACGAAAATTACAATACACGCGCGTACAACACGAAACATTTGTTAATTGTGACGTTCTTTCTCGTGTCTATTATCAGATCAACCTACGAAGACGCGTACAAACACATTATTAATAAATCTATAGTCCCTGTCGACATAATCGCGTCCTTGAAGAGAACCTCGTGTCTCTTTCTTCATTACAGAAACATTTGCACGCAACGAAAAATCTGTCAATGATGATTAACTTATCGCATTAACGATAATAATTATTTATTATCGGTGATAATCTAAATTCGCGCGAGATCACATAACAACACGCTACACAATCCACAGATCTACGAGACGTTATGTTATCTTGCTCTTGGTTTCAGTTTACGATTACAGTTTATTAACCATATAAGGAGAAAGATTGTTCTTTCTTCCGGTACTTGGAATTCCCTTCGAAATCTAAAATATTTCAAGTGACGTGTCACAATCTGCGTCATATGTTTTAGCACACAAACATATTCCTCCCGAAAAGTCGGCTTTATGATTCATCTAACGGTTCTACGATAAAGATTCTGCTCACCATGCTCATTTCACGACACTCACACAGGTTCGCAACCTGCGCGCCACACGCATATATGTGCACCGTCGATATTGTATGTGGTACACACGTACACATACCTTCAGCACCGTTTCACTCTTCGCTAAAAGCGGGATTCGCGTCTGGAAGGTGGCCGGAAAATTATCCTTGATCGCGATTCGATCGACAAATTTGGAAGTTTCCGCAGGTGCCTTCTCGCGAGAGAGAGCGGGCTTCGAGACGCGGCCGCCACGGCGGTCGATAGAACGTCGCGGTCGCCCGCGTTCGAACGAAGCCGCCCTGCGAATTTCGCGATTCTTTCTCCCTTTCGCTCGGAATATCGGAGCGGATGCCGGCGAATTGAACGAATCGGCCGATAACTTCGAAAGCGACGTGTGCGAAACGGCGCGCGAAACTCGCGAACCTCCGCGAGGGGTGGAAAAAAGCGCGTCCACTCACCTGCACTTCGAGGCAGCGTTTAGGGGTGAAGCGAAAGAGCGCCATTTTTGTCTTGCCTACTTGTTAAATCCTGCTTGCGCGGTGTTTCTCCCTCTAGTTTCTCCCTCGAACGACCGATTCGACTCGACTCGACTGACTACTGACCGACCGGCCACGCGGTACTCCGGCGCCTCGACTCGACTGATTTGGGCCGCGCTGCTTTCACTACTGTGCCACGGAACGCGCATGCGTCGTCTGCGCGCGCTTAGCTCAGGGACGACGGGCTGCGAAAATCCGGGTGCCCCTGGCGAGGTACAAATCTGCTTCTAACACCCTAACGTGCGGATCTGTTGAAACACAATTATTTCGTGGCAATGATATGCTAGATTTATTAATACATATCAAAGACACCAATAAATAGATGCAAGAGGATAGAATAGGATAAAATATGCCGAAACAATGCGTTGTTAAAGACTTTATTTTAGTTTGTATACAACACTCATTCGAGCGAACACTCATTCACTCTATTTTGCTTGCTTTATATGCAATTCGTGAATAAAGCTATAAATAAAGCGTCAACAAGCCTTTCGACGGCGGATCCGTTGACACCATTTTTTAAACGAATCTAATATAAAACAATTAGATTGCTCGTTTGTAAGAGTTTATGTGCTCGCATATTCCCGCCAATAACGACAATCTAAAAATGTATGTGATATACGTATGTGGAATATATAAAAATATCTAATTAATTCAAATCTAACTAACTCAAACGAGCCTGCTATTACATTTAAACGATTGATCGATATGTTTTACCTGTTTAATGTAAACAAATGAAAACCATAAGTTGTTCCACTTGCAATCACGTCTGTAATTATTTGTATTATCGATTCAAGTATGAATTTTTTCATCAATTTTTTCTCGTTTCTCATTCGTGCTAGATTATCCTTAATTTTTCCCGGAACATCGAGCTTACAGACGCGCGTCATTATTTCTAAACTCTCGTAATCCGTCGGTACAAAGATTCCAGGAATAATTGGAATCTGAATGCCGATCTTTCGGCAATCTTTTACAAAATCTATAAAAACTTGAGGTTCAAGAATTATTTGCGTTATGATGAAATCCGCGCCTGCATCTACCTAAAAGATTACAAATTAAATCCGCACTCGCAAAGATATTCGTTTCAAACTTCATTATTATCATTCGAATATCATTCGAAAGATATCAGATTGCTATCGTGCGAATTGATAGAGATCATTCATTACTTTCGCTTTCAAGTAATGCAGATCGAGCTGCTTGGAGGCTGATTCTGGATGCATCTGTGGATAGCCCGCAACACACACGCAGAACGTGTCGCCGAATTGCTCTCTGATAAAAGTAACCAAGTCACTCGAATGCATAAAGTCACCGTTCTCGGATGAGGAATCTATAATTCAGTCGAAATCTTATACCTTTTAGGCAAAACATCTTGCAAATTGATGAACTTGAGTTGCGAAGTATGCATTGTAATTTTAATTTTTTGCGATTTTGACAATCGCAACCGTGTACGACTTTGTACTATAAATCAATTAATAAGTAACATTACGGCATACGATATATTTCGGATCTATTGAAATATATTGAAAAATCAAAAGTCAGTGTCGAAAGTTCAAATTATCCATAAAGTTTTTACCAGAGTTATTTGTAACGATGCAACCACGCAAATATTTTGATATAGAAACAAAAGAATTGTCATATATTGTTAATGAATAATAAACCTTTATATCACATTTATGTTGAAACACGTAAAGGTTGAAATAATCAGAATAAGTTACCTCCTTGTAGCGCAAATATGTTGATTATTCCATGCGAAAGAGCTGTCTTTAGAATATCGACGATTTCGTCGCGTCTCAAAGCATTAGCTGCTAGATGCAAAAGCGTATTACTTGGAAAATTTTTTAATATCTCCAAAGGCCGATAAGTTTTATCATTGGAAACTTCATCGTTGTGCCACGTTAATGCGTAAAAGAGAGGTGAGTACTTATCCATTTCCGCAAGAAGCCTGTTGTGTTATATATACTTTTCAATACAGTACTTTTTTATAATTAAAACAATATCGTCAATGAGAACTGAAGGTCAATTGCGATTGTTTCAATAAAATATTTAATCGTTGCAAACACCAAAATTCCGATTTTTGCGACTAAAGATTATTAATTATTATATTATCAGTATGACAAATGACCCAGATTTATCTTGCTGTACAAACCTTTGATAAAATGTATCGGATTCTCTCCTAGAAACAACTTCGAAGCTATAGAATATTTCATGTTTACTAATCTTATCTCTCAACGATCGTCGCAAATCCATGATCTCGCAATGACGATTTTCGGTATGGGAACAACACATCGGAGAATCGTCCACAACGTCATTTTCACCCGTATCGTTCTCCTTTGTAAAACTGAAGTTCCTCATTACAAATCAGCGTACAATCGCGAATGGAAGTGTTGATGCTCCTCTTCTTCGACTTATACTACCCAGTCGCTATCATATTATATAACAGCGTAGTACAACGCGAATAAATATGTTCACATATGTCATAGTGTAATACCTACATTGACTGACTTTCAAATTGTAGAATATAAGAAAAAGGTCATAATTTCCAATAAGTTTTCTCATGTTGATTGGATGTTATACATAATTTATTGATAATAAGGAATAGCAATATAAACAATATAAAAAATTTGTAGAGAATACCTGGCACACGTTTGGTGCGATGTGTTAGTTTTCTGGATGTTTTCAATACTTTACCCTGGATAAATTATTTTTCCGCTTAATAATCTTTAGCAGTCACTACCGACAACACATACTTAAAACATTATTTCCGACGGATTATAAACAGAGCCTCGACAAACAATAAAATTATTTCGGAAAGTAGCAATATTACAATTTGTTATTTCTCAAATATAGCGTTCTGCAAACCTCTGTTATAGGTATATCAAACACCGGTGGTATCCCACCAGGAATAGTTTCAGTCCAATGCAAGGCATGTTTATCTGTGATGGTTCTCAGATCGTTGATATCTGGAGTTATTAACATGTTGATAGCAGGATAAATAAGAAACGCAAAAGTTGCCAAGGCAGTTAACGCCCATATAGGAATTGCCACTGCCCAATACTTAGATGGCAAATAGGTCACACCCAAATAATCATGCAATACTTCATCAGGCACTAATGCCCATGTCATATACAACAGGAACAGCATATTTGAGCCTATGTACATGGCATACCCGTATACAGCTCTGGGTCCATAAGGTGCGGGAGTATGCTCCATAGTTATGTATATACATTTTAAAGTATCAACAACACATAATTAGTTAAAGTGATAGAAAAAGATACCATTAATTAATAATAATTGTATGTTGGTTCAGGTGGGCCAAACTGTTGGATAGTTTCTGTGACTAGTAAAAGATTGTCAAAGAAGGATGTAAGCCCTACACGTACTTTCCGTGCTTCTTTGCCAATGAATAATCTGTGAAAGATACGATAAACATTAATAAAACAATGAAAAAGGCAATCCTCTTGCTATGCTATACGCACATTTCCAGAATATTATCGTTTAATGTTAATGTTTTAGTCACTCCACCTCTCGCAGGTTCTTTATCAACTAGAAGTACTTTATAAGCCACTTCTGCTTCCCTAGCAGTTGGAAAAGGCACGGACAGATTTCTGTGCAATGTTAAGGTTCTTGGTTGGAAACAATGGATAAAGTAACAATTCATTGTCAAAAGATAAGGATACATTTTGAGATCACTCATGGCATTTTACGATGATATAAATTGCTCAAACTAATTTTTTACTGACGTCACACTAAAGTTTCTGTAATCATATATTAATACACAAATTTATATTTCAGACTACAATAAGAGACACGATTTTTAAAATGTCCGTGCTGATATTATGATTTAATTGCGTTAAAATCGATTTAAATGTTTGATTTGTAACTTAAAGCCGATTATATACGAAATTGTGTAAATTAGTAATATATTTGTAACTAAATAAATCTAGCTTATCCAAGAGGGTTATAATAATTACTTCACGTTTATCCTCGTGCTACCGTTATTATTAATTTCGTAACTCTCCATTAGGGGTCGCTACTATCCACTAAACAGATCGGTACGTAATATAACTCAACTACAAGTCAGACGCAGATCTTTATTTTATATGAAAAATAGACGAAATTCAATAGACTATAACTTTGTCAAAAACTATAATAATAGGATAATTCAACATTCACTTTAAAACTTGGAGTTTCTAGTTGTAGACATATTAATGTTGCTATCTTTCTTTGTTAAGATTTATTGAATCAAATGAGAAATGACGATATTCATCTCTAATATTTTAATGAAATTTGTAGTTAGAATTTTTTATGTATAGACATAATAAATATTAGGTTGTTGCAGATGAAATGGCCGTTTTTCAAAATTCAAATTTCCCGGCCGAGTAGTTCAGCTCTTTTCATGCAGCTGTCGTTGCATGCGTGATATTTGAAAAGTATATGCCCCACACAGTGCTGTCAGGTGCAATATATTACGACGCTACAGCGCATGCGTGAGATGACGTAACTCTCTGTTTGAGTGAAAGTCTCAGTATCGTATCTTTTTTAAGATATTATAGCGCCCATATTATACTGTGCATTGAGAATTGCAATCGAGTATTTAGTAAATTAGATAATCTAAATCGTGGTTATTTTAATTGATCTGATAGTAATTCTCAATCTATAGTCTAATATGAGTCTAATACAAATATTATGTAACAGTTACATAGTTGAGTGAAAAATTATAATGTTAATGTAACATAATTGTTACTTAGTATCCATTGGAATTATAATGTTAATATAACTGATATTTAGTATCCACTGAACAATATAATCTAAGATATGGCACTCGCGCAAGAAGCACGGGAAAATTACACTGGAGCCTGGAAGACAGCTGATCGGATAACGCGGGCCCCTTTATGGACCCTGCGATGCGCTTTATTGCCGTTATTGGCATAGAGTACGTCATCTCACGCATGCGCTGTAGCGTCGCAATATATTGCACCTGACAACACTGGCCCCACACGTAAATTCGCACGTTTAACCTTACTTTTTGGACATTCCTGGTAATATGGCAGATAACTTAGCAAAATTAGGAGCCCTCAGTACCGAACCTCTTTCCCTGGACTACTGTAAACCTATGCCTGAAGATATTATACACCTACACCATAATGCCTGCCTTAAATCAGCAATTGAAGAACTAGAAGAATCTTTCACACACAAAGGCATCAGAAGATTCTGTGACGAAATCCTTCAAGGTCCCTGGTTTGAAGATGTCAGAGGAGTAAATAGAAGCGTCATAACATTTATGGCCAGGTTAAGATCTCATCACGTTGCCACCGGTCTACACCTTATGGACAAAAACATCATCGATGATGCTACATGCGAATGTGGTTGGTCCAATAGGGACCTGGAGCACATCTTATTCAGATGTCCCATCTTCGCTAAAGAATCGGATTCTTTGTTGCTCCGACTGTTCTACACGGATGGAACTTCTGCTACAGGGAATCTCTAGGCTGCAGCCTTTAACAATCGCAACATTAACGTATTCAAAGAGATAACCAACTTCCTTAAATCCACTAACCAATCCATTTAACTCTCCCTCCCCTAGACGCAGCTGGAGAATAGCGTATGGGTGCATCCTTCTACCTAAAGCCATATACCGAACAGTGGTGCGATTCTGTAACTCATTATTGGAGTTAACGACAGTTTCGTTATTGTTGCGCAGCTTTTCTACGGTATACAAAAGCTGCGCAACGATAACGAAAGTGTCGTTAACTCCAATAACGAGTTACAGAATCGCACTACTGAACTGAACTGAACCTTACTTTTACGAGGGTTGTCCCAAAAATAATGCACAGCACGCTCTAGCGGGCGTTGTAGGCAACGTAGACAGCTGGTCGAAGCGTCAGTGTGTAGATTGAAGTCTCAAGAGCACGTTGGTATCATATGGTAGTGGGATTCGTTTAAAGGGAAAATGCCAAAAATTCGGAAAGACAACGAGAACAGTCCGTCGGGTCGGATTTCAGTAACAGAGCAACGTGCGTATATTCGCATCGAAACAGTGCGCGGTAAAAAAGTGCCCGAAATTCATGCCGCGTTAAATAGAAGCGTGTGGAAGGTTTACTGTGAATCGTAGCACAGTACAGAGGTGGCACACGAAGTTTCGTGAAGGTTGAACAAGCATCGAAGACGATCCGCGCGCGGGGCGGCCGTCTACTGTAACAGCTGACAACACAAACGCTTCAATCATTGCAACGTTGCTCGACGAAGACCGGGGAATCACAGTAAGAGAAATCGAGGCGGGGACAGGAATCTCGAAAATGAGCGCGCATCGCATTTTAACACAGGTGCTAGGCAAACGAAAGGTGACGGCGCGGTGAGTACCGCACTTCTTGTCAGCCGAACAAAAAGCAACACGTTCGGAAATTGCGCACGAATTGCTTGCTTGATTTGACTTGATTTGACTTGAATTGACTTCGATCTCTTTCCCAAGATGAAGGAACCCCCTTCGGGGGGTGCGTTTTCCGACGCTGGAAGTGCTCCGAAGAGAAGTGACCCGACAGATTCCGATGCTCAATAAAAACGGGACGCTGAACGGAATTCAAGCACTTCCGCGCCGCTGGCAAGCGTGCATTGATGAAGGAGAAGATTATATTAAAGGCCTGTAATCACTTGTATATTCTTCAATAAATATTTTTTTAGTTAGAGCCAACTGTGCATTACTTTTGGAACAACCCTCGTATCACATTGTTTATATCGTTGAAAATCGCTGTCTCTTCGACATGGAAAGTAAGGAAATGCGGATAATATTCTTGTACGAATACAAACTTGGTCATAGTGCGGCCGAGGCAACGCGAAACATAAACACTGCTTTTGGGGAAGGTTCTGTAAGTGATCGAACCATTAGACGTTGGTTTGAAAAGTTTCGGTCTGGTGATACAAATCTCGACAATTTGTCTCGCGGCCATGCACCATCAGTGATTGATGACAATGTTTTGAAAGACATGGTTGAAGACGCGGTAGACTCGCGTTTATCAGTTCGAGATATTGCACACAGCATCAACGTTCACTATTTCACTGTTTCCCGACACCTAAAGGCCATGGGGAAAGTGAAAAAGCTTGACAAATGGGTACCACATGAACTAACTGAGAGAGCCAAGCTTCGCCGTATGGAAATCAGCTCATCTTTGCTTTCCCGACATAATAATGAAGGAATATTGAATCGAATAGTAACGTGTGATGAAAAGTGGGTTCTTTATGACAATCGTCGACGTTCTGTCCAGTGGTTAGATGCTGATCAAGCTCCGAAACGCATGCCGAAACCGAGCCTTCATCCACGTAAAGTTATGGTATCTGTATGGTGGCCTGCTAAGGGTATTGTGCATTTTCCGTTTTTGAAAAAGGGTAAAATTATAAATGCTAACAAATATTGCCAAGAAATTGACATTGTGATGAAAAAACTGCGTATTGAACAGCCGGCGTTATTAAATAGATGCAGTATGTTATTGCTCCATGATAATGCTAGACCGTATATTACAAAAAAGACTGTAAAAACATTAACAGAATACAAATGCGAAGTTCTCCCTCACCCTCCTTATTCTCCTGACCTTTCTCTAACTGATTACCATTTGTTTAAGCATCTGGATAACTTTTTAAGTGAAAAAGTATTCCAAACAGAAAGCAACGTGAAAAATGCGTTCAACGAATTTCTTGCATCTCGCTCTTCTAATTTCTACGTGAAAGGCATTGATGCGCTTGTATCACGTTGGGGGAAGTGTATTGAGGTGGAGGGAGACTATTTCGATTGACGAGATGTATATAAAGTGTGTCGAATAAAAATTTAAATTAAAAATTAAAAATGGCCATTTCATCTGCAACAACCTAATATGTGAAACTTTTATCAAACATATCTACAAATAATATAATATAATATAATATAATATAAATGTAGTTATAACTGAGAATCTTCAAATAATATTATTTAACTTAATACTTTAACATTTCACATCTACTGTTTGCAGAATGAAATGGTAAGTTAGGCAATTAAAAACTTAATATTAGGCTGGTTATATCGATCTTGTATCAATTATCAAAGAACAATTTGATAGAATTTTTGTGCAGTCCTACAAAATACTGGAATAATAAAAATTTTCACCACTACGATTGTAAAACCCGAGAACTTGAGAGTCTGAGAATGTTTCATGGACGTTTAGTTTTTACTGAATTTATTTAAATAAGATTGAACCACGTCAAAGGACCAATGCTATTTATATAAGTTACTTAAGCGTTACACCTCTTACGCCGGCACGAATATACATATGTAATAATTCTAAAATTAATGACAACATGTGTTTTGAATATCTTATTCTAAATTTTCTACGTATTGACAACAGCACTTGCCCTTTTGTCACGCATTCACTCATTCTCGCTTTCTATCAAATTATAAAGACTATCGTTTCAACAATGCCTAGCTAACTACTCTCACAATCGCTATTTATAATCTATACATGTCTTCTTACAGCACTTCTCGAGAAATATGGGAACTTACGGTAGGTCTCTTCGAGCTTTCATTGTCTACTTAATAAACAGCGACGACGCAGTTAGCGGCGAACAAAATAACATCTTTTTAATGTCGAGATATATTCTGAATTTGATATAATTTGATATAATTGTTATTAGCGATATATCGTCGAGTTTGAGATTGAAAAATGATCAAATGTCTTTTCTCGGAGATAACAATGAGTGGTCTGTTTAGCGAGGTATTCCAGGTGCAAATTATACGTTCTCGCGAATACGTAAATTAACAGTATATAAAGTATATAAAGGCGAAATATAATTTAAGTTAAAAAATTCAACGTCTTTTTGCAGTTTATCAGATTTTTAAGTTAAGTTTATCATCTATTGCACATTAATTAGCGATTCGGTCTTCAAGATAAGTAATGTAAAATAAAGAAAATTGTCGGCACGAATGATTACCGCTAAAGATTACGCTAAGAAAGAATCAACTTTGAATTCGACGAAGACACATGTATTTATGTCACCGATTCCCACAATATTTCGTGCCACTTCGTATGTGTATGTGTATATATTCCAATATATTACATAGACGCATGTTTACACGCAACGTTAAACCGGTCGCATGCGATCCAACTATTTTCATGACAAACATTGCGCAAACGTGTGCACCGTAGTGCATATTCATGTTACACATTCAGCGCTAAATGTGAACTATATAGATGTGCAGAACACGCTCAGTAAATAAAATATAAATATCATTTGTTATAATACTATAAATTGGAATATTATAATTAATCAATAAGTTGTGTCACAGTGCGTATTATTATAAAATACCATTGACACACTACTCAAAAATCTGCACAGTGGACGAATAAGACGCAGGCTACATTTAGCGTTAAATGCGGCGTTACACAATGAAGACGAGTCGAAGGATTAAAGTGAAGTGTGCCAGATGTGAAAACAATGCAAATCTGTTCAAAAAATTGGTGCCATAAAAACTTATGCGAATTATTAGATCACATGTGAGTGGTTTAACATGGGCCGAAGTACCTAACCGCGCTTTACAATTAATTACATTTTTACTACTGCGTAGATAATAGGCATTCAACCTTGTCTCCTTGCAAGAGTTCAGACGATTCAATCTCAGCGTAGAATTTCGAACCACTTAAAATATTATTTTAAATGAGAGTTTTCCTTTAAGAAACCCGATATAAACTTTCAGTAAGGCTTTATATAATTTTATTAAAGTAAAACATTATAAGATCTTTAAAATTTTGAATTTCAAAATCTTGAAATATTGAAACGTTGCACGAAGATGTGAGAATTCTTTAAGAACATTGTCTCGATAATTTTAATAATTTAAAAATCTTCAGAACTCTCTTCAAATTTTTTCTAACATTTTTCTCTACAGTACTTTATCACTAAATTCAAATTTGAGAATTTGTGTTATAATATTAAATGTTGATATTTATCGAATATTAGTCGTGATATCCAATTCGTGTGACGCCATTTTCATAACTTTGAAGGCAATAATGTTTCAAGATCCTTCTGACTCATGAGATTCTTTAAGTCGTCAAATGACTATTAGCCTTTTTAGAATCTTCAAGATATTCAAGAACTTCATTCAAATAATACTCAAAGCAATTGGAAACCTACGCTGCACCATTTTGAGTCGAAACTATCTCGAGCATTCTTCATCAGCCCATCGCTACTGCGCCGACTTGTCACTACTGCTGCGTAATCCTGAAGACTGGTCCGATCCTGAGGAAGAACCTGCGCAGGACCGACCTCAGCTCCGGTTTAAGATCGAAGCACATCACTTCGCAAAGAGAAGGATAGCAAGTTGAGGCGTGCACTGCGAAACGATGGTCGCTCATTTTAAGAATACGGGTGAGCAGCAGCAGTAGGATCGGCGTCCATGCATCGCGGTGGGCCTCGTTAGCGATTGCAAGGAAATACTCGAGGGCCTCACAAGCGACTTCGACCAGCCGTGCTTCGACCTTAGGCCAGTCAGCACGATGCACTTCGTCGCTGTACATCTTAAAGAGGATACGCAACGCACAGGCAAGCGATTGCGTCTCTTGCTTTAACAAATTCGGCTTCACGTTGCCGCGAAAGCCGGCCTTCCACAGCACGTTACGCTGTTCATGGTCCGAATTGAAACTCTTGGCGAAACGATGCGACCGCAACAGGCATTCGACTAGCTGCAGAAGGTGGCTAGTTGTCAGAGCGCAGTACATACCTTGCTCTTCTTTTTGCTGATCAGCGCCGGCCCTAAAAATATGATTTTATGAACGATATTTTAATAAATTTGAATTATTCGCTCAGAAACAGGTATACATTTTTGATACGGAGAAATGTTTTGTGCGAATTTAAAACAGGATACAAAAAATATCTACAAAAAATAACAGTATAAGAATAGAGAATGTTAAACAACATATTCGTAATACATTTGCAAAGCGTATTATTGCCATTTTGGAAATGAATGAAACGGAGTACTCACTTTACAAGCTCCGACGTCTTGCCGTTCAGCATATCGGCCTGCGCGAGTGCCAAATTCTCCTGATCTTCCTTACGCGAGGTCGCCGGGTAAAAAACTATGTTATCGATCGTCTGTATCAGCTCTAATTGGACCACACACTTGATCAACAATGCAGAGAAGAGCTTTGTTTTCGATAGAGACTCGCTATTAAGACTCTGCGTGCTATTGCTCCTTTTTAAAATACCGACGTGGTAACCGTCTGCCTCGCCGGTGATCACATCGAGATCAGACTCTTTGTTGGGCGACTGCGGCTTCCACGTCAGTAGCGCCGACGGTAGAGTACTCTCGAAGATATCTAGTACACACTGGCACGTCTTCTCCCAGGTTTGCTCATCGAATTTAATACCATTGCTGATGACTAGGTTCTCTAGGCAATTAGTACCCGATCGAGCCAACTGCTCGTTGTCCTGTTGAACACACCACAGCAGTTGGGAGTACAATTGCTCTAACAATAATGGGCCCAGGACATCGTAGAATTGCGAAAAGACGTCCACGATAGCATAAAGCGCATGATTGCATGTTGTTGTCATCCATTCGGCTTTCTGTAACATTTGTTGGAATATTTATTCATGGAGGAAGGGAATGAGCAGTTGCTTTTAAAAAGAAATTCCTCATGTATTTTTTGCAGAAAAAGATTTGAATCCTAAAATATCTTTAAAACATAAAAATCATCTTCACCAGAAAATTAAGTATAAATAGATGAAAATCGGAGGACCAATTATTTGAAAGACAAACCTCAGTATGCTGCTCGGGTAGTTTCATATTGTCGAAAATCCTAAAGAGAACCTGGAAGAGATCCTTCCACCAGTGAGGTTTGAAGGATGCACCGTGTGTCTTAACAACGTCGAAGAGTACCGTTAATGCTCGTGTCCTGACGTCCAGTTTACATCTGCTCACTACGCAAGACAACTCGAACAACAGCGGGAACCAACCTCTTACCTAATAGAGAAAATTGAAACACAATGACAATGAAAATATTCTATTAAATATAATTTACACGATATTGGAACACGTTAAACGGTAAAACAGTTTGCGCTTCAAACAATTACTAGCACCTTATATTTTTGACTGAAATTAGAATGGAAAGGTAATACGAGAGGATTGAATGGAGAATAATACCCACCCAGGCTCGGTCCTCCTCGGAAACCATTCCACTGTCGTCCATCATACCTTCGGCGAACAAGTTGGGATTCGCGTCGATATAAGACGCGCAGGAACGTATCAGCCGAATTGCCTCCATGCTGGTGTCTGGAAAGGATGCGTTACACGCGAACTCGCTCAGGCATTTGACGGCGTCCTGGAAAGAATCCACCATGATGCTGAAGTCCTCCGCATACAGCTCGTCTGCAAACATTGCATTGAATTAGAGAATGATAAAAATAATATTAATATAATTCACTTATAAAATATATTAATCCAGTATTTTGATTGGTGATTAAGGATCCACAATTTGTACGGTCCAAAGTATAGAATAAAAATATTAGCAGCTCGCACACCCGCAAAAATCACTGGAGAATTCAATGTTGGAAAACTTTTCATACACTCAAAATATATAAATGTGTTTGACTGATCGCTTACTTATTATCTTGCCAGTCATTGAGAAGGCTAGCTCGACGACAGACTCGTCACGATCACTAGCCGCATGATGGAAAACGCTAAAGATGTTCTTCCAACCAGATCTGATGTTGGGTGCTTGCGAGTGAACAATCTGCGCCACACATCTAACGACCATGTCTCTGATAACAGGGGACCTATGTCGCAACGAATATTGAATTACACTTCGTGAAATTGGGGTACATCTCACTGTAGACACCGTCATGTAGAAACCGTCAGGTAAATTAAAATAAGTACATCGCTATATAACATAATTTTCGCGAGAAATGAAACTCAATTAATCAAACAAATCAAACAGAATCACCTGTTCTTTTTCATAATATGCTCGAATGGCCTAAGAAAGTCCTTTTGGAATCTGAAATTGGCAAATTCACCCTTCTCGATGAATTTGGTGGCCAACTGCCTCAGAGAATCCACAGCGAAGAATGCAATATCCTGTCTAGGACTACATCCTACTCTGTCGAAATGATCACCGAGAACCTGCCAGATTCTGGACCACTGCAGCCTGATACGTCCCATATTATAATATGAGATTTCGACGATTTTCGTAAGGGAGAACATGCGCGGTTGTGTGGGGTGTGCCAGCTCCTCGAGAGAAACCTAACGACGAAAAACTCATTATGTAAATTTATTGCATAAAAATCGCTTATTTTGTTTAAAGGAAAGAGACCTGGCAGAGAGCTTTGACAAATTCAACAATAGCGTCGCCATCGAGTCTGGTGGAGCCAGTGAAGATGCGATCAACGGCCACGACAACGCTCTGCGAACTGGTCTCGCCGATAGACTCTTTCACGCTGGGGTCCAGTGAGCTCAGATTGAGACTGTTGGCTTGATGCGAGCCAACAGAATGCGTGAGATTACCGAAATTCGCCAGCGGTGACGGAAAGTGCGGCTTCGACGGCGGACCCAACAGCTGCGGTCTCACACCGGTACCGATAAGTTGTGCTAACTCCAATTGCGAGATACACTTGACGACATCGAGCCATGAACCACCTAAATAATTGCCGTCGGTGTGAGCCACTGTGATGAGGGTCTTGATAGTGTCGATGTTCTTCGCCTTCATCTCAGTGATAGGGGAGTTGGCTGTCAGCAAGGTGAATCTAGCTAATGCCTGTACATAGGCATCACGCTCTAGGCTCATGTGAAAGATGCAGGCGATGCGGATGGCACATCTGGAATGTTACGAATTGAAATTAAAAGGTGTAAATTCAAATCGCATTTAAGAATTTCTATTTTTGTCTCTAATTATTAAATTGTCTTGGACAACGTCGTTACATATTCTCTCACCTGATACCATCCAAGCAGAGCGATGCAATCTCCGGATCGTCGCAATCTTGAAGACCGACGCTAAAGGCTGCGAGGAACGGCGTCCAGGCCATTTTGAACATTGGCCGCACGTGCTCCAGATGTTTAGCCGTGGTGAACGGTGCTTGAACGTGACTTACGGACTCCATGAGATTCTTCGCCGCCGTGGAGATCACTTCCATTTCCATGTTCCACAACAATCGCCGTTTCTTCTCGCTCGAGATCAGCTGCTTGCCGGCGAGTCGGCTGTTGTTCGGGTTCGATTTCATCTTGATTTCATTGCCAGCAATTTCATCATAAATCCTAGAAAGGTACTCCTCAGGAAGGTCCTCGTTATCGCTGATACGTCGGTTTAGTCTGGCAGACAGAAATAAAAAGATCTGTTGAGTTTTTTTTAAACATCTTGCGTATGAAATATATGCCACGTATTTCTTCTGGTTTTCCACTTTATATTTAACAATAAACTCGCATATATTGCTAATACATTACATTAACGCAAGAGTGTATCAAAAGTGTTGATTTTAATCAAATTTAGGTTTTATCATGCTTAAAATATTCACGAAGCTCTCTTTTTCTGTCTCTTTATAAGAAACGGCAGACTGTATTTAATCTAACGATTTAATCTAACAAATGAACATTAAAGTGTACCTAATGTATTGCTCCTTAGTCATTTTATTCTTGACCTGTGGCGAGTGCAAGTCGGTCGTCAACATGATGATGGAAAAACCGAGGACGTAAGCTGTATCCGCACTGGTGAACAGGCCGTTATTAGGATTGCACTCGCAATAACGACTGGCAAACTTTTCCATCAAGCGATCGATTTTCTGTGCTTCGCCGGGCAGTCGGAAGCCTTCCAGGAAGTATCTGAGTGCGGTGACTAGATCGCGCTCGGCGAAGTTCATCTGGTCGATGTAGTGATACATCACCTGGTTGTGGTTGTGATCGCCCAGAAAATCACCGATGGCAGTCTTGTCAAGTCGCTCATCCAAATGCAGCCATCTGGCCACGTCCTCCGGCGACGTGCCGAGTAAACCCTGCTCTTGCAGATATTGCACACCTTTGCCTGGCTTTCGACTGAAGATCTCGATGCCGGCCTCCCATACCTCCTTCTGTTGTTTCTGTACTTCATATTGCTCTGGCGAATCCGGCACTTCCTTGTTGCCGGTTAAACTGGAATTGGCCGATGAGAGACTACCAGCACTACCGTAGCGTGGTAGCGGAGTCTCCGGTGCCGGATCTGGTGGATCCGACAAAGGTTGCTGGTCCGCAGGCACGCTGGGGTTCACGTACAGATCCCGGCTCCACTCCACCATACATTTCAGGATAGACACGAGACACTCGAGACCTCGGATACGCATAGATTTCTCCTGGAAAGATGGGACATGTTATTACATGGGATATTCCAGAAACTTTTATAGAATCATGTGATTTATATTATACTTTAAGAAGAGAAAAGCCTAAAGTGCGAGAGATTCGTAAATCATTATTAAACTTATTGGGAAATCTTGTAAGTTGAAAGCTAAAATTTAAATCTGATGTATTTCCTTTTATCTACTTACTCCATTATTCCGTTTAGAACGCACCTGATTAGGCGACGCGCCAAGTTCTAAAGCTTGGCGACCTTGAGCGATCTTGGACAGATCGTTGACGAGCCTCTCGAAGAGATTAGCGGCGGAGAGATCGCAATCGTAGTTAACATAGATATCGACAACACTCTGGGCATCCGCGCAGATCCTAGTGAGCGCGTGTATGACCATCCATTTGTGCTCGAAGGAGCTGCTGGAAGTCTCGAGGATGTTCATGAAGATTTCCTTGAAGAACACCTCAATTTGCATCTTGAGGTGCACTTTGAAGCGTGCAAGCAGTGCCAAGAACAGAGCCAACGATAGCTCAAACACCTCCGGCACCGACGAGACTCCATTCTTTGACAGGGCAACACACAAGTACTGCTTGATCGCGATGACGAACATTTCGTTAGAGCGCAGCACCGGGCCGGCGTTTTGCAGGATTCCCAGCAACAGTTGCAACGACAGGATCTTGGAGCGAAGTTCGTGTGACCTTGGATCTGGCGTGCCGTCCGGCAACGGCTTCATCGACAGCTTGCAGAGAGCACGGAACACGAGGAATGCGTCCTTTTGCAATACATGCGTGAACTTGGCGGTGACCATGTTATCGTTCTCGGCGGTCGCCTCGTCGCCGTTATCCTCCGGACCATTTTCAAGACTGACTTCCTCCTCCAATGGCACCACAGAGTTCACCACATCGTCGAGGATGCCTCTGACGATCGTTTGAGGATCTGTAACATCGCCATTTTCTGTGTTTAGCTCTGCCTCAGTTTCGCCGTTTGCCACGACAGTGCCTGCTGCTGCTTCCTGCTGAGACTCTCCGTCGATCTTCACGCTCTCCTCTTCAGCCTGAGACTCCATACGCGCGAAAATCACGTTGATCATCTGAGTGAGGGTTGCGCGAGCCGTCGTCTGGTTTACCAAATTACGCGATGCCAGGTAGACATTGTAGACGGTGCGGATCGTCAACAGTACTGTACCTTCGTGCACTTCCACATGCTGACTTGTCATTACAGTCAGCAAAGCCTTAATAATCTGCAATTGTACACCCTCGTCGGTCTGCGGGCCGGTGAAGCAGCCGCAGATGGTCTCGACGATGCGCACGATCAATAGTTTGCTCGGTTCCGTAGAATCAGGCACATTGCCAGTTAAGTGACCATATGCTATCAACTTTTGCAGACAATCAAGTGCAGTTACCACGATCCGTGATGATTTACTCTGACATGCTAGTTCAAACGGCAAGAAGTACTTCTCCGCAGTGATGACATTTGAATCACTCTTAGGTTGTGGTAATGCATTTGATGTTACCTCTTCACCTTGTACAACTGGCACATCTTTGATCTCATTGCGAAGATCCTCTGTAAAAAATAGAAATTATGATTATTAGTATAATGAAAAAAAATATAACCTTTTAAATAGAAAGAAAATTCTTTATAATATGAAGGACTTTAATGTCAAAGTTAGATCGTAGAAATAATCCTCTTGAAAATTCCAGATTTAAACTTTAAATATAAGCTTTCACAATTAACAGTTTATGAAATTTTATTATCAGAGTTAAAGCTATAATATAACATTACTAAGTGTAAAGATTCTTTTGAATTCTTTCTTTAAAATTATATGCTCAGAAATTAAAATTCTTGAACTTTAGTTTAAAAAGTAAGATTAGTATTAGATAAATTATGTTAGAATAGATATCTCAGACATGTTGCTACTCAGTATTCTTGTGTGACAATTATACAGTTTTTGAAAAGTTCGAGTTCTTACCAAGTGCAGACTCGCAGGATTTTCTGAGCTGCGAGAGGTGCGATCGCTTGACATCCCGATCAGCTAGTATCTTTTCTAAAGCTCGTACGATAAACATTTCTCTGGTTTTAGAATTATTTTGCATCATCACCACTCCCAACACTGCAGTTGGAAATTTATGCTCGTTTAGTGCTCGTTAGTCAGTGTGTCAACATTGGAGCAAGCTAATGAGCAGCTGTATATGTAGCTATGTTGCATCTCTACCTGGCTAATCGCCAGCATCTTTCACCACTCTTTCGGATCCTATTGCCACATAATCTTTCCCTACAAATCTAGAAATATCACAAAGACATCGATGAAGTAAGGTAAGGTAAGGTAAGGGCAGGTAAGGTCGAGTAAACAACCCCCCCATGTGTGAAGTATTCACCTTACGCGAGAAAATGACAGCTACATCTGATTCTTCGAGGCGACAGTAGAACAGAACCGCGAGAACGCGGCTTCCTCGAAGAGAACGTTCTCGATTTATCGCATTGCCCGTCGGCGAATTCCAAACGAATATTAAACGACAACCGATACCACCATCCGATACTCGCACTGACAGTCACCGGAACCGACCGGAACGTAACCGCGGATGACGACGATCTCGCTCGCGTACTCGCTGTCGCGTTGTGCAGCTAACTTCACGTGACGACGTACTTCCGCAAGCCGCATTCATGAGTCAACGACAGAACCAGTAATACATGATAATATATATTAGACATAGGATCGGTCCATTCTTCAAGGAGCTAGCTGCGTTCCGATATTCACACTGTCAGTATCGAAACTCTATAGTAAACTATAAATTTTCAGTACTTGCTCTGCAAGTCGTACGGATACATGTGAACAGTGCTTAAAAGTTAACATTATTTCAGAATAAATATCTCTTTAACCGCATTTCCCGTATGCTTTTGAACAATTTCCATTTTTATCATTTATTTTTTTAATTTTGTACATATATTTAAGATGCAGAGAATGTGACAAAAATATATTTCATCTCTAACTTGATTCGGTGGGTCATTATTTATTACAACGGCGCCAACTAACGGCGACTTTGGCACGTTTAGTCTCTAGTTTCACTTCGTTTTACTGTTGTCACGGTCCTTTCGGTTTCGGTTGCGTGTTCTATCTTGTGATTGTGTGTTACATTGAAGTTATTCCGGTTTACTCCTCACATTCTATAACACATTCAAAGTATTTCTTTGCTGCATATTATTCGCATCCTAGATTTTTCTGTGTGCAAATTTCAGTTGTGAGTCGACGTCATTATTGCCGAGCGCGGCCGAAACAAAATGGCCGCAGCCGCGGCCGCCGCATTGCTCGATGAGCTTATGGGTAGGAACAGAAATGTTCTACCTAATGAAAAACCCAAAGAACTTAACTGGGAGGATCCTGAGGTGAATTATCGCAAGAAATATGAATTATATAAATATGAATGAAATGTCAAGAGATGTTGGCTGTTCGAAATTCTTTACATTAATGTACTCCCTAATGAAAAAACTTTAAAGTTTCTTTCTAACGTTCTTCAAGGCTTCTCAAAGCATAAAAATATAAATATATCGAGAGTTTATAGACAAAGATAAAAAAGGATATATTACAGGAATATATAAATATATATTCTTATATTGATCCTTTGAGTGTAGAACTATTTAAAATTAAATGCTTGCTGAATATTTTGGACAATAGATAATCAGTCAAGAAAATTACTTATTGAATATTACTTATTGAAAAATCGGAAGTGATGGATTTAGATAAATATGAAATTTTATATATTTCTGTTCTTCAAATATATAAAAGTCTCGGTATAAATTGCTGTTACATTCAAAAAATTAATTTTTAAAAATTAAATTATCTCTTGGGAGAGAGCAATATACATGAGTAGAATAAAAATTGCAAATGGACTAATTTACTAGTTACTATTTCTTTTCCAGTTTTGTAAGCTATATCTTGTGAAGTTCTGCCCTCATGACTTGTTTGTCAATACAAGAGCAGACTTAGGTGCTTGTCCCAGGATGCATGATGATGAAGCCAGAGAATTGTTTGAAAAGGCGCCACCTTCGTACCGCAAGCAACAATATGAGGATGAATTCATTAGGTACTGCCAGAGTATGTTAAATGAGGTTGAACGTAAGATTGTGAAAGGAAAACAACGATTAGCCTTGATTGGTAGAACAGAAGCGGTAAGTTTTGTATTGGAGTAAATGGAATTTAAGAAGCAATTGAATGTAGCAGTAAATGGAATATAAGAACACAATTATAATTTATTTTGTTACTTTATGCAGCCAACATTGACCCTGGCTCAAACACAGAAAAATGAGGAACAAATTGCTTTATTGACAGAGAAAATAAACAAATTAGTGGATGAGGCAGAGCAAAGTGGAATTCAGGGTAATGTTGAACAAGCACAAGGCTTGATGCGTCTTTGTGACCAACTAAAGGAAGAACGGGAAACTTTAAAAAAGTCCAATGATAATAGTCATTATAATCAGGTAAATATATAAATATAATAGTTTTAATTTTAATTTATGTAAATTGCAATTGTGATTTATGATACGATTAGAATTATAATTAACAATTCATTAAATATATTGTATATAGCTTTCATATGTCTAAGCATTAAACGTTTGTAACTTGCTGCAATCAATTATATTGAATTTCGATATTTTATCTGTAGACTGCTGAATTAGCAGCTGCACAAGAAAAGCAGATGGAAGTATGTGATGTTTGTGGTGCGTTCCTCATTGTCGGTGATGCTCAACAACGAATTGATGATCATTTAATGGGAAAACAGCATGTGGGTTATGCAAGATTGAAAAGTGCCCTTCAAGAAATTATGGTAAGCATCGTCTGTTGGTTTTTAACATCAAATAATGCAAGGACTAATGGCTAAATTCACATAAAATCAAGTGGAAATTGTAAGTCATATGTCATTTCTATTATTGGATGCTAATCAATAACTATTTTTTTAGAACAAACGTGAAAAAGCGCGTGATGAGAAAGAGCAGAAGAGAGAGGAAGAGCGAAAACAAAGAGCGCGTGCGAATGAAGAATTAGATAGGCGGCGAAGAGATGGTGACAGAGATAGAGATCGTGACAGAGAGAGGGACAAACGTCGTAGACGTATAGATGATGATAAACGCCGTGACTCGAGCAGTCACAGGTAAAAACATTAAATTTCGTTTCAGACAGATATTAAACTGGAGATGGATTTATATATTCCATGAAAATTAGTCTGAAATTTTACGTTACCGAGTATAAAATCTCAAAATAAATTCAATTTTTCGTTAGATATTTATAAACCGCCTATATTAAGATTTCTTATTATTCTGATGGAAATGTACTTATATACTTGCCATTATATCTTTTGACGATAAAAATATCATATCTGAGAAAACTAGAAGATTGATTAGTCTGATGAAAGTTATGTCTTTGCGTAGAAATTCCGGGCATAGAAGTAGAAGTAGATCGCGGGATAAACATGAACGTCATCGTGATGAAGATAGTCATCGCCGTCATAACCGAGGTAAGATAAGATTCTCGAGACTCCTTGATGCAATACAATTGCTAAGTCGATCATTATACACGTGTGGAAAGATTGAATTGTTGATTTTTGGTAACAACATTCGATGAAAACTAACGATTTCAGGAAATCGTGATCATCGGGGTACCAGCCACCACAGCCGACGCCGACACCGCTCGCGAAGCCGAAGTCACAAGTAACTTCTCTTGATTGGTTAGTGAGTGAGAAGTAAGCCAGGTATGCACCAAACAATATAACCATATTCGTCTCAATTACTGTACAGGTATTCTTTCGATCCAGGTGAGTTGCCATTCCGATGCACATAATACATATACATGATAATATAATCTGTGATGTTTGAAGTGCCGCGTAAGTCACACAGCAAGTTCGTCTCGTTTTCTCTCTCTGAAACACACTCTATCTCTCTCCGTCTCTCTTTATCTGACTTTCCATTAATTCATCTATATGACAAGTCGTTTCTCGTGAAGTAAAATTTGATGAAGAAGTTGATCTGAGGCCGCCGTTGTTCTCTTATAGTACATCACGTTCCTCTTTATCGTTAAAAGTACGAGTCGTAATTAACGGTGCGTAAGTCAAGTGTGTAAGGTAGTAACTGTGAGAGGTAGTTAAAATTGATAGGCTAAAGAATCTTGATACTTATCGTTGTAGGTAGTACCGTAGATATCTATAATGGACGAAAGAACTCAGTGCAACAATGGTCTAATTCGCTTTTCTGACTTGTCAGAATCAATGTTGAACACAAGAAAAATCAACTTCATCGAAAAGTCAGACCGTATTGTTGCAGTGGTTTTGAAAAGAATCATTTTTACAAAGTGTTTCGAATAAATTCATACTCATTAACAATTAATCATAGTTATCATATTGATCGGATGCTAAAATAATTGCAAAAATAGTAGTAATTAATACCTGTGTGTGACAGTTACTTGATTAATAGTTTCCTTAATCGTGATTACTTTATTAATTATTTGTTAAAGTGATTGCGATAGTAATAGAGATTATACTACCCGATATTGATAGAGATGCAGTTGTCTAACTGATATTACATCCCGTGCACTTTCTTTGTATACCAAGCAAGCTGGGAGAAGGTATACCTACGCTTGCTTCCACCATTATAATTCTGTATCCGAGAAGTGAATGGACATAGGTCCAAAAAGTTACCTTTTTTCCAGGAGAACTCGTGAACTTATCCGAATTCATGGAATCGTGGATACACAATTTTAAGACGGATCAACAAATGAGCTTGGATTAATATACAATCAGGTTGACATTCATATTTGGAATAATATAGACCTACAGTTCATATATACCTATTTCGGGATAAAACCGACTGCTTTACAAAAGCTGCTATACAAAAGTGCTTTTTTTTTCTTTTTTCATAGTAACATGAACTTATCGCGTTGTTTCCAGATAATTGAATTTCGAGAGCTTCAGTTGGATTTGCTTCGTTTTGTAACTTATGAGCTCGTATTTCCCATTGTGAAGGATAATTTTGGATCTCATTCCTCTCTGCTTCTCGGAATACGGAACTGTCTTTCGTAGGTTCGTTAAAATTGCTCGCGCGTCAATAAAAGAGAGGGAGAGAGAGAGAGAGAAAGAGATTTAGTGATTTAGTGTGGAGAGGACACAGCTCTCAGTGCCCGCTTCGTAGAGCTTCGTCCACGACTGCAAATGCACGAGTGCACAACTACGAGTGTGCCCTGCAAACGTGTGACTGTGACTATACGAAGCTCTAGCTTCTGCCACGCAATTGACGAGGTATTTATGCCGGAATGATAATATCAACACATGTCCTTCTGTCCAGGAGAATATTCCCCTTGCTTCCGTTCTCGAGTATGTTTTCTCCGAGTCTTTGGCGAATTAGGGATCTGACGATTGTAGGCACGTTTATAGATAGTACAGGAATTCTCGAATTTCTGGTGTATAGGGTGACGATCTCTCTTCGTATAAAGACTGTGACAATAACGAGACTAAGACATTTACTGTTTTCTAAAGAGGAAGTAAGACTAACACTAAAAATCGCATTATTTCTATCGTAAAGAGAATATATCTAGACGAAAAGAAGACCATTTTCTTTTGATACAAGAAAATGAACATCAACGGAAGGAAATAAATAGCACGAAATCTCGCTCGAAGAGCAAGCGCTGACTAATATTCTTTTTGATACGCAGCTATCTCTTTAAAGGAAACACTTAATTATTTAAATATTTTTGGAATTATACACTTCACCGATAAACCATCCTATCTCATCTGACAATGGAAGTTAGGTGATTAGGTGCATCAGTCACTTCCGATGCTGTTAACTGAGACATAATTGATAACACTATAATAATAATAGTAATAATAATAATAATGATGATGATAATAATAATATAATGATAATAATAATAATCATAATAATATATAAGGAAATCATGCGCTTATTAAACAAATACACAATCAACAAAGAGGCAAGATTTTACCAGCAAATCTGGCATATGATTGCACAATATTTGACCACTACATTGAATCGTGATCTGATGACACTTCTGCTAAAATTTGGATTCTCTATTTTCAGAATGGAGACGAAAGAAAACTCTGGAGATTATGCAAGACATCGCTTAACGTATTATTACGTTAAAGATTTTGCATAATCTCAACGATGGTGAAAGAGTGGGAGAGAAAGGGAAGACAGACGAAGGATAGATGCGTCGAGACCAGAGAAACTTGGATTGGTTTAACTTATGATACGAGCGATTGTTATTTTAGGCCGTCTATACATAAACAGATCAATCAGCAAGGTAAATTGTCTATAGTATACATTGTAATATTCGTAAGATTGTTATTTGAAATTAATAAAACGATGTCGCAACGAAATTTCATTGGTCCTTTCTTTTTTGTTTCGGGTAATTCTAATTATGTGAAAGGAATGTGTTTTAAATAATTGAAATTTATTGATCTTTCATGTAAGATTCTTTAAATTAGAATTTTGCAAATTGATTCCATAAGATATTGATTATTATCAAAAGATGGACTAATGCGACTAAACGTTAATGCAAATGATAAAGGATAACGATATAAAAAGTTGTTCGTATATTTAGAATACACAAACTTTTTTTATTGTATAATGTAATAAATATTTCGTAAATTAAACAATCTTCTTTAATACTGTACATGGCAATCCTGTTCTGGTATAAAAATAGATCTGTATCAGTGCTACTTCAGTGCTTTACTTCAGTCCGATCCAACACGTTACCTAAATAATGCGATAAAATCAATCATTAATTATTATCGTCTAAAATAATATCGGCAGTCTGAAGATGGCAATAACATTAAAAATGTTTTCCCAACTATTTCAAACATTATTACTTTATTATTCGACTATTTTTTGATTATTTGATCAAATATTTTAATTACCTGTTCATACACTGTCCAAGCCATAGCAGTCATTAGAGTTCGTCTTAGCATTCTGGGTACGACACCCTTGAAGTATCCTAGGATACCATATTTCTTATAGACGAACAACGTTGCATGATAAATGCTATTAAATTCATTTGGATATAGTTGCATCTTGGTTTTGATAACGTCTGCTGGTTGTGTCACCATGGAAGCCATAAGGCCAGCTACAATTCCGCAGCAGAAGTGAACTGGTATCAACTTATTAGACTTCTTTTCTGCAAGCAAAACAATATATCTTTATTATTAATATGTCATTAACGAATTTGACAAATATAGCCAACGTTTTCTTCTTTTCTCTGAACTTCTCTGAAATTAATGAATTTTACACTAAACTATAACTAAACATTTTTACATATATGTAGGAAGAAAGTCAATATATATGCATCAAAGAGTATAAATCGGTCTAAATATGTGATATAAAACGTACATTTCTATATGAAATTTTTTTTTTCAATACATTTAGAAATAATATGTTTAATAATTTTATTGCGTCTGACAATTAGATTAGGGTTTTTTGATGAATACCTGTGTCAGCAGTCATTTTTTTTAGTTGATTATAAAACATGAGGTATAGGCCACTGTAAGGAGCATCTCGTAGAAGTGTAGGCACTAAACCACTCGACAAGCCTCTTATCCCTTCCTGCCTGTAGATCAATTTCAAAGCTTCGCTAATACTGTTGTATCTATAAACATCGCTCTGTAAAATAAAAACAATTGCTCGCTTAAATTTAGTGCCTTATAATTAATTTGTTATTGTGTGTTATGTTTTTTATTATTGCTATTATGTTACTGTTATATTTCGTGTTATTATATATATTATTTTATGTTATATATATTAATTATACCTCAAATCGTGTTTTCACGACGGTGATGGGAATCAGTAATGCACCAGACATGGATCGCGCAGTGATGCCCAAGGAGACAGCTTGTATGGCCGTCATTTCTTCTAGGTCGAAAGTATGTTTCAGCCAGTGCAATGATGAGAAATATAGACCCACACCGGGAATCACTCTGGTAATAGACTGTAAATGTAACATATGACTGCTGTTATCGGCACAAGTCGATATTCGATATTTCTCATAAGTTTTTTTTATATTCTTAGAATGATGTTTTACCGGCGTTATCCCTTTCCAGAGTCCGAAGATATTGTCCTTCCGCACGATGTGCGCCACTGTACCCAGCATTCCACTTTTTGGCGTCCTGACGGAAGATTCGGATTAACAGATAATCGATAATTTATATATAAATGTTCGAAATCAAGAGATTAAGAGGCGTTAGTGTAAGAAATTTAGTTAGGGAAATAGATCTTTTGCATCTTTAACAACAAGTAGAGGAGTTTGATTAAACAAAAGTCTATTTTAAAATATGTAACATTTGTATTTGTAAGAGATACGATATAAATGTCAAGTAGAAAATTCTCAAAAATTATTTTTAAATTTGAAGTATTTTATAATTAGGTTCAAATTTGAGAATATCATCCATATGGTAACCATATGTAATTACTCGAATATTTAAAATTAAAAGTTGGACTCTTGATTTTATTGCAGTGATTTAGATTGGATTATCAAACTTACGCATAATGAGCATTGACTCTGCTCTGGAGTCTAGTCTTCACTAAATCCAATGGCTGGAAGAGGATCGTGGAGAAAGTTCCAGAAAACGATCCCGCAAGGAACGACTTCAGTATTGGATACTGCAAATATTAAACAATTTTTGAGAAAACTTTAAGAGAAAGCTCTTCGTAGTTAATTAGTTTTTATTGAGAAATACTTGGAAAGATTCACATTACTCGAAGGCTACAGGCATCTGAGTTATGCCCTAATAAGGAATACAATTATATTGAAAACGCGTGAGCAAGCGATAACGAATTAATATGCGTGTTGTCGTGTCACGGGTTTGCTCACGTGAGATGAACAATCTCGGCCAAGCACATGATATACTCGTATATATGTGTAACACTTATCGTAACATGGGACATGCGGGGTTATCGTCACGCGGCAAACAGCTATTTTTTCCTTCGAGAGTCCAATACATTAATTACTCGTGTGTTTCTTAACAGTTCACGTGATGTTTTTTTTTTGTCGAGCATTGCGTGATTCGCGTTAGTATCGACATTTTGCTTCGCAGGGGATTCGCTTGCCTTCTTGTTTTTTTCCCCACAGATAAGTAAGCGCAAAAACAACATTTCATCAGATTGATGAATTACGCGCGTATCAAGCATTATTATTTGTTAATAAATCAATGTTTTATCAATCGTCTTATTTCTCCCGTTATCGACTATCTTCGCGGGAGTCCTACGAACTTCGATGACTATCTCTTCTCGTGATATGAGCTGATGTATAGTGTGATCATAATGAGACATTTTATAGATAAATCTGAAGATAATCCTAACTTTTATTGATATTTCACAAAGACCATGCATACTGTCAGCTTTAAGAAAATTATAGGATAAAACTAATTAAAAAATTTAATATAGATGACTTTATTTTTTATATCTTTATAAATTTGTAAGAACATATTGTTTGCAACTTATACATTTTGCACTCTACATGTGCAAATTATCATTGTTATATATAATAAAATGTGAGTTTTCAAAACTCCTAGTTTCTCACATAGTACAGATTTTATTAAACTGTACTTTCTTAAATATGTAAGTAATGCTGTTCAAAAAATTGATCTTTACGTTCAATAGAGAGGAAAAAGTTTCCATCATATATTTTTCTTTATATTGTAATATAGTTATGAGAGAGAAAGTAGGATTCTTGATAATTATCTTTTAAAGTTTTTAATTTCATCCAGTTCATTTTTATCTTAAGTACTACTAGATGCAATGTTATCTTTGTCTAGAAAATATGGTACAGTCAGCTGAGATTAAAGTTGTAACTTTCCTATATGAATTTTTGTAATACATTCTGTATCCAATAGAATCTGTTTTTCAGTACTTCTCAGGAGATAAATTTTCTTATTAAATATAGAATATATTATAAAATTATTCAAGGAAAATTTTGCAGTTTTTAATTGACTGATATAAATATTAGTTGTAAGATGAACAGTAATTAAAACATATATATCTTTTTGAAAAAAGTATATTCAGTATAAATGGTAATGGAATCTTGATTAGTTTTGTTACCATATTCATATTACTCTTTTTTAATATACATTTATTCGTATATATTTTTTTGATTCAATTAATAATTTTGTAATCAACTTGAGAATATAATACTATAATATTGCTTTAATTTTGCTGAAAGCACCTATACTCTTATTATTTTACCTTTGAAAATAAATAGAGTAATCCAATTTGAAATTATATTGCTTGATAAAGTGATTCAATCTGAAATTATATTGCTTCATCATACTTTGGGTGATGATACCAATACTTACAAGCATTTCTGGCATGAAAATTAACTAGATGAACTGAATTAAAAGTAAATAATTTGTTTAATTTTAAATAATAATAATTATAAATGAAACAATACTTACAGCACTTAGAGCATCCATGATCTATGAATTTATGTTCACTGCTAGATCTTACTGAATTATTTATTATTTTGAAATTTAAAGTATGTATGTGCAAATTTGTGCTTTTATTCACTTTAATTCTTATTTACTGTTTTTTTACCATTTTTATTTTACCGTTAGTATCTAATATACAAAAGTGTTCAGTCTTTAAGATTAGAGTAAGATCAAGTTCTCCAGAACTGCCTTTGGCACTGGCAAGATACCGAATCACATTTTGAATATACTGTCACTCTACTTACATCCTTTCTTATCGTTCCACCAGTGTCGAGGTCATCGAGGTGGTGACCCTGCATATCAGGGTACACTCAAACAGTAAAAAGTTTTCAGGCTATCAGTGTTGAAACGTGACTTTATATTGGAAAACGTGATGTATTTTGTTCTGCACGAGACATCTCACCCTAAGGTCATCTTATCTCTGTCTATCCTTTTATTATCTTTATATCTATAATTTTTCATACAAAATGGTTCGGAATAATTGTAAAGTTTCCTTTTTGATCAATTTACCTGGATAAAGACAATCAGGATTAAGGTATTTGTTAACACGCAAATGCCCAGACTTTGAAAAAGCAAAGACAAGTGTAGCAAATAGGTTTCATAATTGACATAATTTGAAGAATTTTGATTTTTATGCCATAAATATGTGAAAACTACTCCTACTTATTTGTAATGTACAAATGCGTACCAACTTAAATCTACCAATTAATCATAAACAGATTTGTTCCATACCAACGATCATTTATTCATGATATTTCCACACTAATAAAGAGAAACGCAACAATGATATGTTGAAATTTTAAATACGTAAGAACGAAGGTCATACAGCAACTGAAAGATCGCGGGTGACTGATAAGGTTATCGGGCTGCGATCGTGAAATCATTATTTTGCGTCGATTTAAGGCGCGGATGACGTATTTGTACCATTTATCTGTGGGATGATTGTTTAATACTAATCCACAGTTACACACATCAATGTAAACTTCGTTAATATTCATTATAAACATGGTGTTATATATATATATATATACACTTCATCTTAAGTTATATTTAATTTTTTCATTGTTTTAATGTTAGCGTCATTTTGTTCTTTTTGAAATTTATAACAAAGTAAAAATCACGCTTGTATTTCATATATTGCGATTACAAAAAATACTGATGAGTAAGCCATAGACATAGGAATATAGAGACGGAGCATAAGCCAGTGCTGTCAGGTGCAATATATTGCGACGCTACAGCGCATGCGTGAGATGACGTACTCTATGCCAATGACGGCAATAAAGCGCATCGCAGGGTCCATAAAGGGGCCCGCGCTATCCGATCAGCTGTCTTCCAGGCTCCAGTGTAATTTTCCCGTGCTTCTTGCGCGAGTGCTTTATCTAAGATTATATTGTTCAGTGGATACTAAATATCAGTTATATTAACATTATAATTCCAGTGGATACTAAGTAACAATTACGTTACATTAACATTATAATTTTTCACTCAACTATGTAACTGTTACATAATATTTGTATTAGACTCATATTAGACTATAGATTGAGAATTACTATCAGATCAATTAAAATAACCACGATTTAGATTATCTAATTTACTAAATACTCGATTGCAATTCTCAATGCACAGTATAATATGGGCGCTATAATACCTTAAAAAAGATACGATACTGAGACTTTCACTCAAACAGGGAGTTACGTCATCTCACGCATGCGCTGTAGCGTCGCAATATATTGCACCTGACAGCATAAGCCCGTAAGATAACCGAGGGGAGTTGTGCTGAAATGTGGGGGGCGACTGTGCCTAAGTTTCATTGGCTACAATAGTGCGCATATTCAGAGCGTGTGATGCAACGACTTGGCTGTCACTGGCAAATAGTAAATGTAACAAAATGATAAGAACTATTTACACTGACAGTATTTTGCAGAGGTTATGCATGTGTCTTTTTTTTCATAATTTCACTCACACATAACTTCATATACATCTATGTATGTATCAAATACTGACACACGGCACAACCACCAATTAAATTTAGGCACAATTTGCCTCGTCGCACCATCAGTAACGCGACAATTTCCCGAAAAATGGCGGAGACAAGGTTGGTATCAACGAAAACTTCTAGACGACATAGTTTTAATTCTTAAAGGTTAGTAATATTGTTTAAGTGGTAAGCTGCTAGTTTACGCAAACTTTTTGACAGATGTATGTACGCACGTGTATCACAAATATTATATATCGTCAAATTATAAATGTAAAATACTTTATAATATTAAATAAAAATGACATAAGTGAAAACATAAAGTGCGTATAACAAAATAAATGAGACGAGTGAGAACATAAAGTCAATAAGGTAAAAAACATAATAAATAAATAAATATATATATATATATTATATACAGGGTGTTTGATAGCTGATCATGCAGACGAAAGTCGGAGATAGATTGGGTATAGCCGAGAAGAAAAGTCATGTACCATAATGTCAAATTGGCAATAGTTACCGAGTTATTAATTAAAACATGTGAGCCAATGAGCGCGTAGAGAGCGGAGGGCGGCCGCAGTAAACACGTAGACATTTGATACAGGCGGAGTCAGCGAGTGTCGGTAGGTAAGCGCGCGCGGCGAGGGGCAACGTAAGCGACAAAAGGCGATCGTGTGCGACGAGGAGCGAGCGAGCTTTTTCTTTATAGCTTTTTCTTTATAGCTCGCTCGCTCTTCGTCGCGTTTGCTCGCCTCTTGTCGCTTGCGCTCGCTCGCTCCTCGTCGTTCGCGCTCGCTCGCTCCTCATCGCGCGCACTCGCCTCTTGTCGTTTACGTTGCTCCTCGCCACGCGCGCTTGCCTACCGCCACTCGTTGACTCCGCCTGTATCAAATGTCTACGTGCTTACTGCGGTCGCCCTCCGCTCTCTACGCGCTCGTTGGCTCACATGTTTTAATTAATAACTCGATAACTATTGGCAATTTGACATTGTGGTACATGACTTTTCTTCTCGGCTACACCCAATCTATCTCCAATTTTCGTCTGCATGATCAGCTATCAAACACCCTGTATATATGTGTACATGCATATGTATGTACATGCATATATATGTGTACATATATATGTGCAACTAGATAAATAATTATTAATGTAAATAAATAATTTAAGTTTTTCAGTGTTTTGGCGTGCTTCAGTAAATTATCAGTCATGGTTGTGACTTAGTTCTTCGCATTGGCATAAATTTGCCACTATTGCAATAAAGAAATACATATCAGATAAGTAATTAATATTCATATAAAATAAAAGATTAAGTATCTATATATAGTCAGTAATGATAGATGTTGAACCGATTCTTTCTTTCGATTAATTTTTTGTTTCAGCTTCCCAGCTATCCAAGTTCTTGCAGAATATTAATAGTTGGAGCCCACTTTCCTGTGAAGTAAGATTACCAAAGTCTGAGGTTACTGTGTCCTTGAATGCGTCCCAGTAAAGCCAGCGGCACATGGTGCTTGTTTTTGCTGGATTGTTTGCTGGATGAAAATACTGCGTTTTGATTAGTGCATTTCCATTTATCTTCGGAAATGTACCAATAAGAACGTAGTATTTTTATCCAATAAGCAATTCAGCACGAAAACAAACACCGTGTGCCACTGGCTTAAGCAAAAGTTGAATCACATCCTAACGTCAAATATCAGAGTAAGATGTGTTACTAGCAATGTGATGACAGATTAATGCATCAAACTAAGAATAGGTTCGTAACATTGATGTTTACTGTCATATCATCAATGCTTTTGACAGCTGTATTCGAAATTTTTTTATCACTTTATCATGTGATTTTTTTATCACTTTATCATACTGACTGATATAGACTACGTTTACACGGCTTCTAACTTCGACTTAGTAACTACCGTAGTTAGTGCAGTCTCGAATCCGATTAGAATATATTTTTAGATCTAAAAGAATATACCAATCGAATCAAAGAATTCACTAACTACGGTTGTTACTAATCCGGATTAATCTTGTCGTGTAAACGCAGTCATATTCTTCTTATCTTTTAGGAAACAGATACTAATCCGGTGTTATGCAAAAGCCTGTGCTTTTGTCCTAAATCTAGACTGCGCGTTCTCCCAAATTTCAAGAGTGGAGGTATAAAGCCTCTTGCACAATGCCAGACAACAGGCAATAAGAATAAAAGTAGACCAATCATAATAGATTATTCTTGTAATAGTCGATTGTGATTGGTCTATTTTTATTTTTATTGCCTGTTGCCTGGCATTGTGCAAGGGGCTTTAAAGAATCGCACCATAGGCGTGCTCCGCAAGCGGAGTAGCAGCTTCATTCGTTCGTTCGGTATATGGCTTTAGGTAGAAAGGTGTTTCCATACGCCATTCTCCTCCGGAGCAGCAGCTCTCATCTTTTTCAAGTCGGATGCGTCTTGAAAGTCATTAAAAAAAGTGACATCCTTTATGGCCCAGTTCCACAACTTGCTTTAAACGGAGTTTAAAGCAAGTTGTGGAACTGGGCCTATGTCCGCGACCGTAGGCTGCGTTCCGAAATTCACTGCCAGTACTGAAAATACATAGTTTGTGTCACGTATACTATAGATTTTCAGTACTGGCAGTGAATTTTAGAACGCAGCTCAGGCAGGAAAGATCCAATCCGTACACGTCACTGTGCAAACCCAGGTCTGCCATTTCTATCGTGTTCGTCGAGGCGGAAGGTTGTTTCTCACGACCCTTCTTACAATCAAGAAGGCAAAAAGTAAGTATAAAATATGAATCACATTATTGGAATCAGAAATGATGTAATTTGTTACGAATATTATTCTATAATTCATTATTTGTTGATTTCACATACAAGTTTGCGATATTCTCACTACCTACGTAATATTACTTTCGTTCTTCATGAAATGGCGGCCACGTGGCGAATATTCCAGAAGTTTGGAATTATCCGATGTTCTTTTCATTTATATCTATTATATGTATCTCTTTCTATATATATATATATTCAGTTTTAAGCACAGAAAATATGTGAAAATAATAAAATAAATCCAAAGATTAATTTATTTTATTTCTTATCATGTTCCGCGCTGTATGTGATATGCGCCTTATATTGAAATTTCTATTCGGATTGTTTAATATTTTTACCATTACTAGAATTATTTATTCACCACACAAAATCTTTTCAAATAATATTATTTCAAATAATAGTAATATAATATTCAAATTGATTCTCAAAACAACATATATGTTATAACGTAGATTGCAAATGATGGTATAAGCTGAAAATCGATCAAAAACTGTTAAACATTTCCAATATTTGTCAAGATTTACTTTGAGAGCAAAAAATTGAAGAATTTGAAAAATTAAAAAGAATTATATTTTAATGTATATCATGTATAATATGGAAATTATCTCTTCAGTTAACAATCTTCCAACATGGTGAACGGAAGGATTCCATCGGTCTTCTCCAAGACCTATGTTACACCCAGAAGGCCATACGAGAAAGCTCGTTTGGACCAAGAATTGCGTATCATTGGAGAGTATGGACTCCGAAATAAGCGTGAGGTATGGAGGGTGAAATATACCCTTGCGAAAATCCGCAAGGCAGCTCGTGAATTGCTCACATTAGAAGAAAAAGACCCGAAGCGTCTTTTTGAAGGTTGGTTTTGCGTATAAATTATAATAAGAAAATATCTTTGTTATATTAATATTGAAGTTATTTTTGTAACAAAATTAACATAAATTCTTAACATTTTTTAATATGAAAATCAACATGGAATTATAAAAAAGAATATGATGAATTCGCTATTTTTTCTGACACCTCTTGTCTGAATATTTTTGTAGACGTAAGCGTAGACTGAAATATTTCTTTAAAAATAATTTGATGAGAGGGAATATTTATATATTTGCACTGTAACACAAAATTATTTCTTCAGGAAATGCTTTGTTACGTCGTCTGGTAAGAATTGGTGTGTTGAACGAAGGTCACATGAAGCTTGATTATGTGTTGGGCTTGAAAATTGAGGACTTCTTGGAGCGACGTCTACAGACTCAAGTATTTAAGATGGGTTTAGCCAAGTCCATTCATCATGCCCGTGTTCTTATTCGCCAGAGACACATTCGGTAAGTAATAATTTGTAATAATTGCTGAAAATGTCTTTCCATATTATTAGAAAGAAAATAAAATATATTTTATGAAATTATATGAAGGAAAATACATTCATAGAAAATATATCTTGAAAGGAAAATAGAGGAAGTACAAGTTTATTGCTGAAGAAAAAGAATAATTTATGAAATGAAATAGTTTTTCTTTTGTTTTTAATTTGAACTTGAACAGGATTTTTTTCCATTGAAGCATAATTTAGAAGCGTGACATCGAATGCCTTAAAAACTGGGCAAGAAATGGCCGAATTATTTTTACGGCTCATTTCTAATCTTTAAGGCAAGATTAAAAGCTTGGTTTAATCACCGATGGAGAGATTGGTTCCTTTGTCGGGTTCTTACCATGCTACAATTTTATGTACTCCATATTAGTTCTCCATATTCCATATTAGTAAACAATATTTTATTTGCTATATTTAATTTAATTATATTATATTTAATTTAAGATAAAAATAGAGAAAACCATAATATTTCAAAATAATATTCAGAATTTGTAATTTGATAATTATTTCCCGTATTCTATTTGCAACATTTTTATAAAAGATCAAAGTGTCTGAAAGTGGTTCTTGTGGTTTCACATTTATGTCCAAATGTCAAGAGTTTCACAATTCAAATGAGACATTTCTGGAATTTTGGTAGATTTGTATTAATATACAGGAAGACTTTTACAAGGCAAGATGATAAAAGAATTCTGCTGCTCAGGTATCAGGACGATTACACTTGGTCGATTAGTCCCGGTTGACCGTTTGTGTTGGGTCTGGAATTCGAGCTCACAGTCGTTAATTTAACGAAACGTTTTTCATTCGCGCAGGCCACTTAAGTACCGTTCACTGGTACTTAACGTCTGTTGATCTATTGAGATCTTTCGTGCTCGTCGAGAAAAAGAAATCGAGAACATGAGGAGGCTGCGGTAGAGTTTTTGTCTTTCTACTATAGAATCGTCAATGTGATGGTTCAACAACATTTGCCTAGAAAGGCAACCAATGATACAACGGCGGTTTCTCCGTTTTGCAGAGTGCGCAAGCAGGTGGTGAATATACCATCGTTCATCGTACGATTGGATTCACAAAAACACATCGACTTCTCGCTCAAGTCGCCCTTCGGTGGCGGCAGGCCTGGCCGCGTCAAGAGGAAGAACCTGAGGAAGGGAAGCGGTGGTGCTGCGCCGGAAGAGGAAGAGGATTAAGCGATTTCTGTTGTCGCCGTTGCGATTTTATTGTCCAAATAAATATGCGACGTTTGTAATTGACTGTTTCCTTTTCTTTTTTCTTCAATATTCTGCATCTCCTGTAAAATCGTTACTTCTTGTCCTTTTCTGTATTCCAAAGTCTAAGAATCCAACAAATCAGATGTTAGATGTACCCTTTCTCTTCACCGAAGAACGGTGCCTGATTTTGAGTGTTTAGACGTTTGTTCATTTCATCTTCCTTCAGTCTTCCTTTTGTTTCTATCCTCTCTTTTCGAATCTCTGGCTTGAAGAGTTGGTTGAATATCTAGCTTTCCTGTTTTTGATCCTATTCTTTCTTGAGCTTCGATGGTTAGGTCTACAAAGGATTGAATCAAGTGGTTAATTGACTGTTTAGCGATTTACGAGTAATCACATAATTGACACAAATTTTTTAAGAGAGTGTGGAGAAATATAAAAAGATTTTTATATATTCTAAGTTATTTTTTTTTCACATTTTTCTCCAAAGTTGTTAAAGAAGTGGCAATGCTTAAGATTATCATAATTAAATAAGGGAAACGGTTTGTATTCCTACGCTTGATAATATAGAATTTGCTTTTTTAGCGTAAAGTCAATAGTTTAACGATGTTATATAGAATGCCGATAGAACAACAAAATTATATGACCAAAATATTTGTTGGAAAAGAAACAAAAAATATCCTTTCGAAGAAGTTTCATATAAAATAAAGATTCTGTATTATGTTCTTGTGTTTATTAAGCATTTATTAAGCATTACTTTATCGCGACATTTAAAAATTACAACGTGGGAATATATTTTTATATTTTTCGAGAATATACTGACTAGTATGAGGAAAAATATGTTTCGAATCTACACTCGATATTTCTTCGAGTTGAAAAGGTGATTTTGAAAAGGTGTGGATCTTTAAAAGCGCAACTACTGGACCATTAAATATCTGCCAACGCGTGTCATCCTCCATTAGAGATGCCGAATACTCTGAGCGACGTTCAGAGAGTTCGTAAAAGGCACCAGAAAACTTGCAAGAAGGCAAAGAAAAACTTGCAAGATGCGTCGTTGAAGTTATCCTTTGAAGTCGAGGAATATCGAACTTTGTCAGCAAAACTGCTCTCTCATTTAACGTTTTCAACGTATCATGCTTTTTTATTATGCAAGTATTTTTTTCGTTGCAGAATAATAAATAATTCATTTTGCATCGTATTAACTAGACTACATACTTAATTTTAATATGCAAGAAACATTAGAATAAGATAAGAATTACGAATATTAATCATACAAATATAATTTTTTATTAACGTAGATATTTAGTTTGGATAAAAAATAGAGATGCGAATTGGTAGGAATAAAAGAAGAAAAAATACAAGATAAATTATGAAAGTTTAAGTCATTTCGAAAAATATTTCCAAGATATGTTGTTCTTTACTATATCATGCTATTTAACTATTTGTTTCCTTTAAATATTTCTAATATATTGACACCACATATTTAACGTTAATTGTATGATAAGAATATGAAAGATACATAATTGTGCGTGACTTATAATAAATTGGTTGTTCGATTTGCGCGCTTTTAACTGACGTGAAGTAAATACAAATGCGCGAGGCGTCACGTGACCATCCGAACGTGAACGGTTCGCAGTTCGCGCCGTTCCTCGGATGATCCGTTGTGTCGCGAAAACGTTCGTGCTTATTGTGTGTTTTTCGATCGATCACACGCGAATCTTGCGCGTGATCAACTACATCGACATGTAAATCGAACGACGCGGGATCAATTGGTACATACGAATAAGCGTGTGTAGTCTCTTTACTTCCCAGGATCAACTGACCTTGCTGGCGAAGGCATCGAAGGATGCGAGCTTAAGATAGCCTATGACAACTTGTGGTGAGTCAATATATTCATAATGTTCTATTGTTGTTTAAATTGTATCTCTCTCTCTTTGCGTCATCTGCATTTTTCAAATTTTCATGCGTTTTTGTTTCTCTCAAAATGGTGACGAAATAAGGTGATATAAAAAGAAGTAAGGTTTATCTACTTCGGTATGTATAACTTTCATTCCGCTCAACTAGTATTTATTAGATACAATTAATATATATTATTCCTCATTAGCTAGCTATTAATATTGAGTAAATATCGAATGTTACATGAAATATTTACGTAGATGTGATATTACGCAACATCTCTTTCTCTCTCTCTCTCTCTCTCTCTCTCTCTCTCTCTCTCTCCCTCTCTCCCTCTCTTTCTTTCTCTCTCTTGTCAAAATATCGTTTTAATTAAACAGTAATTGGAATAAGTAATAATACAGTACAATGTCAATTGTACGGCGAATACCGATTAGCCGAATGTTAATTCACTTGTGGATTTATATTAGAACGTATAAACAAAGAAATCTTTAATTTCTATATATATTTAAGCTATTAGGTTAGTACAAAAATAATTGCGGTTTTTATTATTTTAAGTTTGGCGTCGATTTTTGTAGTTACCATTATTTTTTCCAGAATTCTATCTTGTAGGAATAAACAAACTTGTTTTCCGTTGGGAGAAATCTGTGCAGACTACAATGGTCTTTATTTTGGTCTTTATTTAATAAATATAAATAACTTTTAACTGATATACGCATCTTTATATCGGATACGTAAAAATTGCAATTATTTTTGCACCGACCTAATACATTATTATTGTACATATCGTATTTCTATTCTTTTGTTTGTTTATTATTATGTACATTACGTTCTATTCCATCCAAAGGCTTCATGCGAACAATCGGCAACAGTTTCGCTCTCTCAGCTCGTGCGGATAAATGGCGTCTTTCATCGTAACATAAATAAAATAAGCAATTGATCGCGTTGTTCGGCTAACATACGGCTATTACGCGCCACTCGTCCTTTGAGAATTTTTGTGTCTTTCTTCCCCGAAATTCTCGAAATGCAGAGGGTGAGGACAAAAAGAGCGGGGAATAGAGAAAGAGAGATTACGGGCCGAATCGCGTCGGATCCTTTTTATTCGGCAGCAAGGGGACGTAATCGAACGTCGTCTTGCCCTTCGACGTATCGAGGGCTAACGTCTCGGCGAGATACTTCACCGACTTTATCCCGCGTGGGGCTGTGACAGTCTCCGTGATGGATAATAGGGCCACCCTCGCCCTTCCGCTTCGTCGCGAGCGTGCAATATTTCACGGCTTATTTACTTTTTTGGAGACGCATGCACGGCCACACGCGTCGCGACGTCCCGACGACGACGACGACGACGACGACGACGACGACGACGACGACGACGACGACGACGACGACGACGACGACGACGACGACGACGACGACGACGACGACGACGACGTTGCGAAGGCAACCGAGCCGGATTTCCGAAGTTTTCCTTCTCCTCGCTATTTTGTAGGGACGTATCCCGGTAGGATACGCTGAAATATCGATTCCATTCAAGCGCACTCTCGTAACGCGCGATGCTAATCTTAAGATTTCGTAGGACGTGTCCCTTTTCGAGGGACCGGCGAGAGTCGAGTAGCGAGCGATTAAAATGTTCTCCCCTGACACCCTCCATTGATAATTAATCCTGCGTAAATGCGATTTCTAGAAGCGGATTATTTTCCGCGCTCAACGGTACTTAGCACGTATCGTCCGGGTCATTCATAACGTGAGCGCGAGCGGGAACGAGCGCACGTATTTGCATGCAAGCATAAATAATGCAAGGAGGGAATCCTGAATTACGATTCGCCGCCGGAGAACGTGCCTGAATTTCCGTAAACAACGCGGAAATTTCCGCGCTGCGTTCGCCGTGACAAGTGACCGGTCTAGAGGGAAATTATTCTCAATTCGCTAAAATAGACTCTTGATTCATATTTAATATAGTACAGCTTGGTGCAAAAGTAACGAGCTCGATTTTACGTGGACGCTGCAAATATTGACGCTCGAATCTTGATAAATCTTGATGATTGATTTTGCATAAAGAGACTCTCTCTTTCACTCATTCCTTCAAACACGACAAGAATAAATAACTTTGATGATCCTTCATAATATCATAGTAATCCTAATAATCACATAATATCACATAATATTATAGTTATCATAGTAATTGGTGAATTTATTGAATATTGAATGATCTTTAGAAAATCGAAGAAAAGATGAAATATTGTATATTTAAGAAGGGAATTACATGCGGAAGGCCGTTTTCAAGGCTATTTTTACGAATTTTTTTAACAGAAACGGTAAAATTGATAGACTTGAAATTTTCACAGTGTATTCATGAATGTTCAAAGTATAAAATAAATTTTATTGAATCACAAAAACCGATCCAGTTTGTAATTATAGATAAAAATGCAGTTATCCGTTTGCGAGCTCTATGTTTGCTGTCGACATAATTCCGGGCCTTTCACTACTCTGAAACTAAAACATGAGAAAGATTTTAAAAATTCATACAACAGCAACAAAACAGCATACAAATTGCCATTGTATCCCGTACCAAAATGAAGGCAGTGAAGCCAAGTTTGGAAAAATAATGACTGTACAAAAAAAGTATCGAACATTTTTCTCAACTTGTAATCATGTTTAAGAAAAATGAATAAAATAAAGTATAACTGTGTTCGAGGTAGGGGCGAAAACTACATGTCTATTGTATATTGTATAAAAATTTCAAATTATTCAGTTCAGTAGTTTTTGCGTAATCGTGTCGACAGTTTAAGAAAATGGTGTTTCCAGATAAACGCGTTTAAAGTTTTATGTGTACTTTTCATATAGATAGTAACAAATTTATTTTATATTTTGATTTTATATTTTATATTTTATATTTATTTTATATTAATGAATATACTGTGATAATTTCAAGTCCATTGATCCTACCTGATTTCTGTTAAAAAAATTCATAAGGATGGCCTTAAAAACAGTCTGCTCTGCATGTAATTCGCCCCTTAAACATGTACAATATTTCATGTTATTTCAAATTTTGAAAGATTTTAAAGGATCGTTTGCGAAAATAAGAAGTTTTCGTGATTTCGGATTTTTATCTGTTAAACGTAAAAATTGTTATATCCCGGTGACGCCGATAGTATTTCAATATAATTTGAGATGTATGCCAATTTGACAGCTATTTTTCATTGCGCTTTCAAAAAATCTAAAAACTACCAACGGCAAACGAACAGAAAACAGGAAATTGAACGATGATTGCTATGACGAAGCGGATGAATGCCATATATATCGACATTTTTTTTTATTTTCTTCTCTTCGTGTACTCGCGCGATTCGTAATTAAATTCAATTTTTCGCAATTAAAGTTTCAAGGAATTCTCGCCACCGTGTATCGAAAAATTCTCCGAATTCGTCGTGAATAATTGAGAGCGTAAACTGCTGAATACTGCTAATTCTATTTCGAGATTGGCAAAAGTCCGATCAAATTGCGATGGTTAACCCTTTGCGGACGAATTTTTCCTTAACTCCAATTCCCAGCAAGTCGAGCATATTCTCTATACAAAACAAAATTATACATAAAGACTTAAATATTGGAATAAAAAGATAAAGAAAAATATATATTGCTTTATGAAAATCTTCGCGAATAACTTCGCGATGCCTTAAAGCATCGCACTACTTTCTGAGGAGTATCATGTAGCGATGACTATAGTCATCTCACGGACTTAGAAGGTTAATCCCCGAGTAGTGATTAGCGATTATGATTCTTAGACTACTAATAGATGGCTAACGAATGATAGAGGAACAAAATGATCGAGACGATGACGTTTAATTGATCACCAGTCTGTTTGACTAAAGTAATCGCAAAAATAATGAAACACACCGGTCAACATCCGCCGCCGCCGCCGCCGCCGCCACCCTTCTGGCCGTTGTGGTTGTTTATGGGAGAATTTGGCGAGCGGCTTCGATTAGTCGCAACGAGCGCTCTGTAAAATTAATTAGCGCCGTTAAGCGAGCGAGCGAATCGAGAGCGGGGAAATTGGCGCGGGAATTCTCGATCTGCTGCGTATTTTCGAGTCCATTATCGGAAACACGGCCAACGGGAGAGTCCGGTCGGCCGGCTGGTCGACCGACAGACAGACCGACCGACCGACCGACCGACCGACCGACCGACCGATCGACCGACCGGTTCGCGTTGGTAGAGTTCCCTCGGTAATAGTAGTCTCCGACCTTCATTCCGGCCTTTACCACATTCCACCGTAAGTCCTCCTTTCGTCGTTGACCCCATAAACTCGCGGCTATGTCGAAGATGCGCTCTCGACGCGAGAAAACTCGTCGGGAGACACTTTCGTGTCGTCCGTGCGAGAATACGATTGTAACGGCAGATGCTGCACCTTCGATATCGAGTACTTTCATCGCGCTTTATACGGGGTATAGTTTTATCGTTTTAGTGTCACACACTGTCTGATTAACCGATTTAAAACTATACGTAGTCGCTGAATGATTAGAGACTCGATTTATGCTGTAAATTTAACGAATCTTCGCGCACGCTATTAACCTGCGATGATATATAGCACTCTATTTATGTATCTGTATACAATATATTAAATCACGCGATTATATTTTCATGTATTTACACATCCACATCCACACACACACACATATACACACACACATATTTGATAAAACTAAATACGATAAAACTAAGCAGCCGCGTTTATCGCCAGATAAAACCGCGAGATTTCAACTTTACATTAGCATAGGCGCACTGTACCTTTTAATTGAATTCCCCCTTGCCCTCTTCCTCCTCTGTGGCTGAGGAAGCTGTAGAGGAAAAGTTCAATTAAATGGTGCTGCGTTTTCGATTAAAACTTTATGGAGTAATTTGTTGTTAATGTCGGCTATAAATTGCGCGATAAACTCTTTAAAATTCACCAGTCGGGAAATATAGGTTTTAGCTGATACGTTAAAAGAGAAAATATATGTATGCAGCATTTGATATATAAATTATAATAAATTCTATAATGGAATTATATATTTTATACGAATGTACATGGAAAGGAGAGATGTGCGAATCAAGAGTTTGTATGTCGAATCTCATTTTTTTAATTCGAATTCGAATCGAATCGAATCTATGAAATTTCATTCGAATCGAATCATTAAAAATTTAACATGACTATTAAACATGCAAATAATGATAGAAGATTTTAATATAAAAAGGAATATTGATATTGTAATATCATCTTAAAATAAAATATATATTTAAATATTTAAAGTAATTTATAATTAAGTTATTAATTATAAGTTAAGTTACTTACAAGTTAAGGGTTCAAACATATATATACTGTAAGAAATGATGCGTTAAATTTAACATATTTCATGTATTTCAAATTATCCACTCTCATTTATGTGTTAATTTAACATACAGCAAATATGTTAAAAAATAACACACATAATATGTAAAAAATTAACACAAAAATTAAACATTTGAATGCCGAATTACAGAATCATGAATCAAGAATTACAGTTTGTGTTAAATTGACATACAATGAATGTTACTCCAACATTTGGGAAAAGTAATGATTTATGATTTAATGAAATGAAAATGTTAGATTGACATAATCTATGTGTTAAAAATCCAATCTTCACATACCAGAAATATTAATATTATACATTTTACACATGATAACTATTATAATGAGGAAAGTAACACATTTTAGGTATTGACTTCAACATATAAAATATGTCATAGCAAGAATTCATGCATTTACATATAAATTGTGTTATTTTAATACTTGTCATTTTAACACTTGAAAATAGATAATCTTAATTTAACACAAGAAAGTCTAGGTAACAGAACAACGATATGTTAAATTAACACACGACTGTGTAAGAAATTTAACACAAAACTTTCTACACACAAATAATTTTAACAAAAGTACGAAATGTTTTTAACTGTGTAGGTCCAGATAGCCCGTTTTGTAGCTGATACGCGCAAACGCTAATGTATTTGATTCGTATTCGAATTTTCGCGATTCGAAATTTTCGAATTATTCGGATTCGAATTGAATTGAATTACATTCGATTCGATTCGATTCGATTCGAATTCGAACAGTTCGCACATCTCTAGGGGAAAGTATACAAAGTAAAAACAGAGCCAGGACGACGATACACTGTCAGTTGGTAAATAATTTCTTTTATTGACATCGCGTTCTCCGTGTAGCAGACAAAAGCGACAAGTTAGTCCGTTTATCAAAAATGACTGGAAAATTTCTCGGTAGATTTACGATAATTATTATTATCTGAAACTTTTATTAATATTGAATTTCAAATTCTTTTTTTTCTCAGGATGCCCAACAATTCTCTAATTATGAAGATCTATTATTTTTATCTTATTTCTTAGTTCTATATCTTATTCTTGAGACAAACATTTTCCTTCCGCGAGTAATTTTAGTTTCGCTACAACAAATAATTTCTCTTTTTCTTGGTTTGTGAAATCTTAGTAAGTTTGAGAATTGGAGACTTTTGTGAATGTCCAGCTTTTATAGATTATAAACTTATTAAGATCTTCCAGAAAACAATAGCACCAACAAATAATAAGGCAAGTTGAAGAGTTACGGTTATATATTTCAGAGATAATTTTATGCTTTCCGTTTATCTTTTCCGTTTTTTTCCTTTTCAGTAATTATGTATGAACAAATATATAAATTAATTATGATATACAAATTATTTACGCTGTTTAATAAATTTAGTGTATAATTCAACAGCGATACACATACATATACACTTATTCACACATGAATACAACCGAGGCGATTCCTGCGAGCGACTGGATTGTGCGCTGTCGGCTCACCGGCGCGACGACCGACCTGCGCCGAGAGGCCGTTCGCTCGGCAGTTCGTGGCACTGCTCAGTAGTCTCGCGCGCGTCGATTTGAGTGTGTCGTCTTCGTATCCGATCGCTCGCGAGGTGCTCCGTCTTCCCCGATTGTCCGCACTGCGTTTTCCGAAGCCTTCTCTCGAGAAGTGTCTTCGACAGTCTCGTCCGGCAATTCGATAGTCTTCCCCTGATCTGGATCCGTCGATCTTTGCAGGATCTCAGGTGAGTCCTGCGGACTGCCGGAATTAGGCCTTAAAATTCGAGTGTCAGATTCAAAACAAATTTCAAGATTATTGAGAATGATGATAACTTGTGCGATACGTATATACGTAGTAAAATAAATAAAATTACAGATCGAAAAGTAAAAATTGAATAATTGGAAAAGTTACAATTGCTGATTTTATACTTATTTTCTATTGTTCTTTTTTTTTTATATATAGATTTCTGATCTCTGGTATAATTCAAGAGAAAACTGTAATAGTTCTTTACGTAATGTGGCAAAGTAAATAAAACGGCTCGTGCGAGAAGCGCGTCCGTCTCGAGCAGTTTTACTTTTATACAAGAAATATATTTTGTGCTGTTTTATTGTTATATATTTTACATTTGTATTATTACATTTATATTACTATTAATTGCCCAGATTATCACTTTGTTATGACAATTTACAAATTATGCAAAGGAAAGTGCATATTTAATATAAATAATAGCGATAACAAATTATATATATATATATACATAGTCAAAATAAGTTGTAAAATGTCAATATATACCATTAATTTTAGTATAGTTTAAAATTTAGCTTAAAATTCAAGAAAGTTTTTGTTATTCTTCATAATTTATAAATACTTAGTAAATAATACGGTCGATATACTGAGAAAGAATTGCATTAAAATTAAACGAATATTTGTTCAAATACGACTGTGAATATATTTATTTAAATTAAGCAATTATTTTCTAAAATTCAAGAAAAAAGTTTACATTCAGAGAACCTCTGTATTTCATTTTAGAAA